TCGACTTCCTCTCAAGATACATATTGCATCTTCAAAGATTTTTCTTTTCTCAAATGTAATAGTACTATTGTCCACTCCATGTAATCCCAAGGGGTTCACATACTTTTTCTTGCAACTGTAAGTGATAGGCAACCAGCCCACATTTATGGTTGTTTACGCTGTTCTATTATTTTCAGCACTTTATTTTTTTTGCCAGATTTATACTAAGTTGCATGGATGAACACCCTCCCTCTCCAAGGAGTGGACAATAGTACTATTACATTTGAGAAAAGAAAAATCTTTGAAGATGCAATATGTATCTTGAGAGGAAGTCGATATAAAAAAAATCTGATACAATAATTATAATGAGAGGATAACAGAAGAGAAAAAGTGTGGAAAGGAAAAAAGTAAATTAACCCAAGAAACTTGCTTGAAATACCATGTTGTTGAGATCAGCAGTTAAAAAATACTTAAGAACAATGCAAAAATTGTACAAATAGGTAATTGTTAGATTTCAGGTCACAAGTGTTACAAATAATAAGTAAATGTTGTTTTAAAAGCTTTTTAGTTTTAAAAACAATTTTTAGGATTTGTGTCTATCTACCATAGTCAGCACCAATCCCAACCATTTCCCTTTTCTCCTCTATTTACAAGAATTGGTGATTTGCAGCTTAAAACACAAGTGTATATGCATGCACTCCCCCCCACCCACTCAATGCAGTGAATTCTACAGATAATCACACTTCTTGATGACAGTAATGCCATCAAGAATGCTTTCCTGAAGCAGATTTGGGTTTTCCCATAGCTGTTAACAATGTGGCCCATAAAATCCTTCTACATATAGATGGTATTTCACTGGACATGTTTGCATTTTATTTGGCACACAATGTAAACAATGCAGCAGCTTGATCACTGTACATAAGCCTGCTTAATTCACTGTAAACATGTTCTAGTGTATTGTCTGAACTAAGGCTGGAAATTGGACCTCCCAAGACAAATGGCAGAAATGCTCACATGTTGATTTACTCCTGGAGCAGTGTCTATGCTGTTCTGGCTATTTTCAACTCTATGGATTGCAGGGCATGAGCTGGAGACACAAAGGGGATAGGGAAGAGCTTCAATTAAAAAAACACAAGGAAGAGGCAACTATCCCAAGGAGAAGACAAAAATGAGGGAGACTAGCTTTTGTTTATGACCTCCATTTTACAGTGGTTGTCTTCCTTTGTCTATGGGATGGTTCCACCCGATGGTTCGTTGGCAGGGAGTAATTATCCTCCAGGCCCCTCCATTGGGGGATCCTGCAGAGCTCTATTGCTCTCCACCTTTGGAACATCTACATGAAACTGTTGGGGAATATCATCTGCCAGTTTGGGATTCAATACGTGTAGGGATTGGATGGGGAAGAACTGACACAGTCATATCAGAACCGGGTGGTTAGGGGTGTTTGGGCAATTTGGATCTGGGAATATTCTGACCTTGGATGGGGTTGCACTTCCCAATGCAAGGGAAACATACAATTTGGGGGTCTTTCTCAGCTCACGAAATGATGAGCAGGTGACAGATATGGCTAGGGAGACCTTTGCCCAGCTTCATTTGGTGTACCAATTGCACCCTTTCATAGATTAGGTGTGTGTGAAGGAGGGAAGTTGTGTCATGTCTGCTCTTTTCAAACAGCTGTACTCATGCAGACATGCTTCCCCCCGCTTCCCATAATCGTTCATCCATTCCCCCAGAACTGTACTCACAGGCATTCAAGCTGGTGTTCCAGTTTGCATTGCTAAATGAGCCACCTATTGGTGTTTTCAAGGATGTGCTGATGTCCAGAGGAAGCTTCACCCAGGCTTTTGAACTTATAAAAGCAAATGCTAAGAAAGAACGGAAAGAGGACTGCAGGAATGGTGAAAGCAAAATACCTACAGACAAGAAAGCAAAAGTGATATCTGGAGATCGGCAGCTATTACAACAGAACATTCAACTGGCAGGACCACAAGCTGTGGTAGGCAGATATCTTGGTGGAGGCTTAGTAGGAACTAGAAGAAGTATCACTGAAATAGCACCTAATCCCAACTAATGCAAGGATGACCGATGATCTCTGGCGGGCCAGGGATAGGGCTCACCTCTCTATCCTTGTGCTCCTTGACCTCTCAGCGGCCTTCGATACCATCGACCATGGTATCCTTCTGCGACGGTTGCGAGAGGTGGGGGTGGGAGGCACCGTTTTTTGGTGGTTCTCCTACCTCTCGGACAAGTCGCAATTGATGTTGGTCGGAGGGCAGAGATCGACCCCAAGGCCCCTCAATTAAGGAATGCCGCAGGGCTCGGTCCTGTCCCCCCTCCTATTTAACATCTACATGAAGCCGCTGGGTGA